TGTTATCTACTCATACGCTTGGTAAACTTCTCAAAGCATATTTCAAGCACTTTTATCGCAGCAAAAACATTTTTGACGCAATGACAGATTAAACGCGTACGTACGTACACTGAGACTGTTCCGAAGAAAAATATTTTTATGTACAACAACCGCGAGAACAGTTTTGAACAATTGTAATTGTGCTGTTGAAATGGAGATGCATTCACGATTGTTTTTTTTTTGGGGTCCATCAGCAACTGTTCGATCAAAATAATGTTTTTTTTGTGGTTTCAGTTACGTCGGAAAGTTTCTCTAGTGCGGATACGTCGTTGCCACTGAACGATGCCGAAATCCGACTCAATGTTTCGGTATCGCAATTGGAGAAACGCGGAAAGATGAAGCACACCGAAATTGAGACCTTCTTGACGATTCATAGGTGAGTGAGTGAGTGAGTGAGATCCAGTTAATCTGATCTAGTTATATGATAGTTTACACATTCAATGTTGAGATTTCAATTTGATCTTCTTCCTTTTCGTTAATATCATTGAGTTTGTTCAAAAGACGGGATAAAATTCTGAAAAGTTAGCTAGAAGTGAAACTGAAGGGGCTTACCTGAAATCTGAGCAGCGAAACGGTCTATAGACCAATGAGTTTTCGATTATCCAATCAAACCATTTATCCGAATCCCATGAAAGGCGGTGAATCAACGGTCACATAGAAAATCACTTGAAACTTTTACAAAGAGCAAATCGATCACCGCATAACATTTATCAAACATCTTTAGTCATAAGAGAGGAAATGAAGCTTCCAAAGATTTTGAAACAAAACGAAACGGTTTTACGAAAAAAATCGTTTTGAATGGAACATTTTACATTTTAGTCTCATATTATCTATCGGCTTCTTTGCAGAAAGAGTTTGAGCAAAGAAGAGTACGTGATCGTGCATCGATCTCCGAAACTAATGAAAGTGAGCGTGACGAGTCTGCAGAAGTTCCCTGAAATCGTCATTCCGCGAGAGAAACTTCTTGGTGGCGCTAACGACCGGTTAGAATTAACCTGCAAAAACATTCCATCCAACCGGAGAGATCATAAAAATGATCACTCGAATCGATTTATCTTTCTGTAAACTTTTGAGACAATGCAATACCGGAATTTGATGAGATTGCCTCATTTACATATGGAATGAAACTTCTCGCTAGTTTAGAGTTTTAGCGAACACATGCATGGTTCAACAGCTTGATAATCTGACGAATCAAGGCGAAATTTAAGATTGCTTCGATTCTCACTTCGAAATGCTGCAAACGGAGCCACAATTGGTGAGGCAGAGGTCTACTATTCGCAGTTGATCAACGATGGAAAAATCAGTCTAAAGGTAATCAGTTCGAAATATGATCATTTATTATTTTAGGCCTGACTTTGACATCAACAAATTCGTTGACAAATATGTATTTCATCCCTGATTCGTGAAGGAAGGCACTTAAAAGCATGTATGATTCGACAAAGATGAATCACAAAAGTGTAAGATGAAACGCAAGGTGTAAAATGTGTAAAATCAATTGACCATCTCTTCAAGCAAGATGAATAGCCAAAGCAGTTGATCAGACTGTTTCTGAAACGATATAGCCGAATTTGCAATGTTGATTAAGAGACAAAATTCTGTAAATGTGGAAAAAACTCTTTACAGTATCGTTTTCCTTAAAGATAAGCAATATCTGATCAAATTCAAAGCATATTGATCAATGAGCTGGTCAACATTTGAAATTTGACTTTTGACACATCACTGGGACTTGAACATTAAAATGAAATGTATGAATAAGTATGAAAGGAATCATGTAAATCTGTCAATGATTGAATGAGCCACATTATCTGTCACTTCAAAAGGGGACACTTAATGTAAGG